AAGAAAATGAGATAATTCTTTTCCGTGTTCTGAGCCTTCCCTGAATTGACTGACAATAGATTTCCAGAGCTGCAGGTCAGGCAGATGGGGAGTCTGGCCAACTTACAGAGGAGGTGAGTGGACTTTGGAAAAGGCAGTGCTGCAATTCTGGAGCATCTGTGAGAACAACCATATGCCCTGGCACACTGCAGTTTGGGTTAGTGACCTCCTGAGGTGCAGTCTCTGGCTGGGAAGAGGACAGCAAACACTCCTGATAACCCAATGCATTCATTTCCTTAGTTTCGAAGCTGGGTTAGGTAAAGAACTGCATTAACTGAAACTCTACTGTGTTTATTCATTTTAAATGGCTTTGAGATACAGTTTCTTTGAAAGCCCCTATATAATCCATCTCCATTGTTCTGTATATATTTGCAGAAGATAACAGCTTCATTAAAATATGGTGTGCTATTAACAGCAGTAAATAGATAGCCTTAAACCTTAAAATGTAATGCAATTAAATAAGAAATATGATTCTAAGGAGGTTAAGCACAATCAACCACTGACATTTACATTTGATTTGAATTAAAAAACACACACACAGAGGGAAATAAAGGGCCTCCGTACATACTTGGATAACAGGAAATCCCCTGGATGTAAAAATAGGGAATTTAAGAATGGAGAATATAAAGGTCTAGTTCAAATTAAAGATTTTATGACTGAGGACTCCATTAAATCTTTGAACACTTTCAGTAAAGAGTTTGGAATGATTCCAGTCCAATTGTTTATGTTCTCACAAGTGACAGATTATACTTCAAAACTTCCATGGCAAAAGAAAGAAGGAATGGTTGCATTAATCCATCTCAATCTGGAGCTTGCTAATGAAATGAAAACTGTAACAGTCTGTGCTTAGGTGAAGCACAGTATTTTTATAACCCAGCTCAAGACAACATTACCAACCAAGCCAAAAGTAGAAGATTTAAGTTTCTACATTATTAAAGAACAATAAAATAACGACCCACTTAATACTACATGATCAACAATCTATACTAAATATGAACTCTTTTAGAGTACTCAGTCTACTCTGCTTTTTAGATTTCCAAGACATTCCTCGTGGTGTTTAAAGTAGATAGGACAGCACACTGCTTCTACAGCTAGCCCTGCCTGCAGAAACACAAGGATCTTCACTCACAACAAGTCTGCAGTTGCAGGTCACATCCAGTCAAAGTGCCAATCTCACATACAGAATCATAGAAACAACTAGATTGGAAAAGACCTTTAAGATCATGAAGTCCAACCACTCCCCAGCACCACAAAGGCCACCACTAACCCATGGCACTGAAAGCCTTGTCACACACAGGGTGTGAACACTTCCAGGGACGGTGACTCTAGCACTGCCCTGGGCAGCCTGTTCCAATGTCTGACCACCCTCTGGGGAAAGAATTGTTCCTAAACCTCCCCTGGCACAGTTTGTGGACATTTCCTCTTGTCCTATCACTTGTTACTTGGAAGAAGAGACCAGCCTCCTCCTCACTACATCCTCCTTTCAGGTAGTTGTAGAGAGATGTGTTCAACAAAGTACTTGCCTAAGTGCCAGCCTGGGTTGTGGTCAGTTTTCCTTTGTTTCTAGGAGTCAAGAGACACCAGCTGTGGATAGAACATTTTTTAAATGGAGAATCATTGTCAGACAAAAGCAAGGGCAGAAGCTGGTGCAAAGTGTCAACTAAAGTCCAATTTATTTAGGTGAAAGTGGTTCTCTTTTATATTACACATCCATTTCATGTTGAGCTTCTCTGAACTGTTACTGAACTAACACTGTGTTATGATGGATAAGATGTAATGTCTCCAGAAGTTTTGTTTAAGGGTGTTGATTTTAAAAATGGCTACATTCTCTGACATCCTGTCCTGCAGATTCAGCCTGGAAAGCAAGAATTATTTCAGCTCCTTTTTTCTTACTGTCAACACATATTTGTAGCCATAAGATATTAAGGAGGCAAGTCAAGCATTGGAAGCTATGTACTACTTTTCCCAGGTTTCAAAGGGAATAGAGTCAAAATTATCAAGACTATAGATTTTTAAGTTGAAGGCATAAACGTTCATTACTGTATCCAGGTGCCTAAGCAAAGGAGCAAGGATTTAAGATCTTGTTCCAGACACCTCAAAACATACCAATTATGTTCTATACTAATTTATGGTATAAATCTGTTGTCTCTAATGGCATCCTGCCAAGACGTAATTGAGCCTTAAATGAAAATGAATGTGAGACATCTGAAAAGACAGCTGATTTGGTGCAGGATGTGAGCAGAAACATAATGCCTGGAAGGACCACAGGGTTAGAGGAACTCCTGGGTTTGGCCATAAACTCCAAAGTAATACGTAAGTCAAATCAGAGGATGAAAATGAGAGAAAACAAAATCTTCCTGTCAGCAGGATCTCCTCTCCTATAGGACCACATGGCAGTCCCTCTAAAGACAGTACATGCTTTTTTGCCTGCCTCCTATGAAGTCATTGAGGGTCTGGCCTTGAGTGAATAAATAGATCAGAGAGTGTTAATAAATGCAGGCTCCTCGCAGCCCAAGAGGGGCGGCAGGCACCACAGCTGCCAGTGAGAACCAAAACTTACTTTGAAATCCTATATTCAAAACAAAGAGCATACGGCTCTAATGCAAAAGGTTCCATGAGCCCTGTGACTCAGAAATAACAATTATCCTTTGATTGTCTCATTTCAGCACCCTCTAGTCTACCACCTATGAAACCATTTTACCGAATGTAAAGAAAGGTTTTTCACCCAGCCCAACAAGGCTGCCATGCTCTTTTCCAAATATAAAGGGTGCCCAGCACATCCCAGCACAGTATTTCTCATGTCTCTTTGTCTGCTCTCACAAACAGGTATTGAGAATATCATATTTAAGAGGTCTGACTAATGATTTAACTACCTACATGCCTTAATTCAATGTACACCTGCACAGCAGCCAAAAGACGTGTTCCCATCCTTGACCCACTTAGCCATGTCCTCACTGGTCCTCATCACCTTCTTTCTGCCACACGAGGTTTTTGTGCAGTTTTGCAGTGAACAGGCTCAGAAAACTAATTTCAGTTTAATGCGTTCCATCTAAACAGGTCATTGGTAGGAAGCTAGATGGAGAGCTGAGGACATGAATGGAGGCAATACTACTCCTTTGAGTAGGTGGTGGTACAAGTTTATGTCATATATAAAAGACCACGCATCCACAGGATAAATTAAGAGTCCAGGCTCTGTTAACAGGCAGTGAAGGTTCTCCTAAATAGATGCTTCCAGGGGGTAATTCAAATACCTAAACCAGAAGCCTAAAATTAGACAGCAGGAGTATGGCAAGACCATAATGTCTCAGTGCTATAATTCCCACAAAGAGCTGAGGCTCTATTTACAAATGCAAATAGTCTTGGCTTTAGCAGAAATACTTTTGCTTAATGTCTTTTTCCATGGAAAAATTGAAACTTTTCCCCGTGAGGGGGAAAGAAGACCCTCTGAAGGGCTCTCCTGCTAACACAATAAACATCTGTGGGTTCTTTCCTCTCAAATGCTATTTTTTCTAGGGGGTACCTCTCTGATAAATCAACAGTCCCAGCAGATCATGGCAAACAATCCCACATACCACATCTTAAGAAATGGTACTTCTTGGAACAGATCAGATTGGTCTGCCTTAACACAGGCAAGTTAACACCACATTATCAAATGCACTGAGGTCACCAACCTCCATCAGATGATCTGTTTGATCCTTTTCAGAAACAAAAGGAAAAAAAACAAACAAACAAAAAAAAAAACACAAGAAAAAAGCTTGGATTCCTGACAGAAATCTGAGTGCTCCAGGCTGAAAGCAGTAGGCTTGGCCACTCACAGCCCACCCACCTACAGATCAAGATGGACTGGAACAACCTCCTCCATGAGCCAGAAAAGGGAAGGGGGTTGTGAGGTGGGAGGAAGAGCCTCATATTTCATCTACCACTTTTAATAGAAAACAGAACGTGGTGGGGGTTGAAAGAAAAATGGCAAATCCCTAGAGATGTAAGTGTTGACCTTACAAGTCAGAACTGTCAATCACACCATGTCCCTTCCAACTCATGTTTGCTGAAGAAAGAAGGCAATGGACTGGCACGTTTAGCCACTAGGTGTTACTGTTGCTCCACAGAATGTAATCAGAGCAACCACTTCTGAATAAGCAAAACATCTATAGAGACATCATCTGCAGATGTATCTTAAGATTTAAATCGTAGAAACTAAATCCTACTTTTGGGTTCCTGTAGTGTGATCAAAAATCAGAGCACTTTGCTATGTTCTCTTGTGGGTGGGGGTCGTGGAGACAGACTGCTGCTCCTTGTGTTTTGTTTATACATCATTGCATAAATGGAGCAAGTCAAATTCATCCCCTGGGAACTTCCTCTGACTTTGATGGAGGGGGAATTGAGCCCCTTAAGGTGTCACTGAGTTCATGTCCGCTGGTCAGGAAAACACATTGGCTGCTGAGTTGTCTGCTTCCTCTGTGACTGCCCACAGCCTGCAATGACACTTAGAAGCATTTTAATTCATCTTAGATATGCTGTCTGCCAGGTGGCTTCCTGAGACAAGACATTTCACCTTTCTCTGCTTGTGTTTCTATACCATGGAAATAAAGATCCCCATCTCCTCTGGGAAGGACTTGGAGACCACAGATAAATCGAAGAGCTGTAGTCCTTGACAATCTGCTGGCATGAACCAAGCACAAGGTTTTGTGTGAGCTTTTCCTATTGATTCCAGCATAGGTTTTCTGAGAGAGGAAGACTGAACTGAATGTTTACCCCTCCCTAATAGCCACTTTTAAGGGAAACTCATGCTAAAGAGTGGCACTGCACCCATGTCAATGCACTGTAACGTCCTATTTCTGTTTGGTCTTTTTTCATAGCTTCACCAAAATTTTCTCCAGAGGACAGCTACATTTCATGTAAATCTTCATCATTTACTTGATCAATTAGGCTTTGAACCTCAGAGACATATCCCTTCCCTGAGCTTCTGAAGCAACAAGCTTTCAGTTTATTAATGTTTAGTAACAGGATTCAGTGCACAGAAAGAGGCATTTCTTCCTTTCAATTCTTGTATTCTATGCCTTGCCCCCAAATGAACCAGTAAAAATAAACAGAGGATGCCAGTCAGGTTTCTGCCTGTGCCCACTAGAAAGCTGTTTCTGCACACACACAATAAATGACATGCAAAGCACAACAAGCAGGCAGAGCAGTCACTCTCATGGTTAGGCTTTACCATGTGGTGCTACTTCTAACCAAGGCATTATTTTCACACACAAGTTGAGTGCTCTAGGGTATGCTTTCCCAAGTTTGGAAACATTGCCACAATATATAAAGTACCACTGCTGAGCCACAAAAGCCTATGAAAGATTCTTTTGTGTTGTTTTCATAGGAAAAAATTTATATGCCACATTAAAAGAAATATAATGAAAACTTAAACTGCTGTTCTCCCAAAGACTGAATGATTTGCAAGTGCTAAAGTATTATCTGAAAGGTGACTGGCACTACGTTGTGCTGCTGCTTCCAGTAAAACCTGTGGGCCTCTAACTTGGAGGCAGAGTCTCTTATCTGTAATTCAGGCAACAACAATCACCTGCCTTGGTACAGCAACCAATGTGTCTCACAGGTTGAGTTCTCACAGACCTTTCTAGAGTGAAAAAGTTTTATTGAAGTATTACTGATAGCCTGCAATTGCTTTTGGCTTTTTAAGGAAGAAGGAGGATCTATCCATGGAGAATCATCTGGAGATGATCATTTGCGCTTGCTACCAACATATTATGGTGGAAAAACAGCCATCTAATAAATGCAAGACTTACAGACCATTACCAGTATTGTCTGGAAGTAGTTCACTTACTGCTGGAGTTTTCTCTCTGCTGCAGTCTAACAGAGGTTTAAATAAGTGAAACAAAATGGCCTTACTGATTTGTACATGTGTACTGTCAGCAAACAATACATCAGCAACTAATCTAATTTCACCCATATGCCTAAGGCAGATGCTGATAACATCAAATGTACTTGACTTAGATGCCTTTGAAAATGTCACCCTAAGTGGCTTGGGAGCTTAATTCCCACTTTCTAAAGTGACTTCGAACCCTAAATCACATGGATAAATCCAAAAATTGCAGCCTTAATTCAGCTGTGCTCTCCTTACTCTTCAGTGGCTAACATAAACAGACAAACCCCCTGACACCTCATCTAAAAATTAATCCTAATTGCTTTTTGGGCAGCTGCACAAACAGCCAGTTTTACCCAGTTTCAGTTACCTCTTACTCTTTTTTTCCCCCCTCTTTCTGTACTGCTGCCCACAATAGGACCCTTTATAACACATTTCTCTTCATGTGCTAGTGGCACCTAATAACATTTGCCAGCAAGTAAGAGAGGATATTCTAATTTCTTCTCTCTGGGTCACCTTTTGTGTTTTTTCCTTGGAAGTTAGGTCTGAAATATAGAAAACATAGCTGCGGGAAGGATTAACTATGAGTTGCCCCTGTTCTGTGTGGATTTTGTCCTGAATCACATGCAGATCTTCACAGACAATACACATCCAGTCTGCTAAAGCAGAATCTAGGTGCAGCTCTTGTATTTTCATTGCCTTTGTCCCACCAACCTGAAAACAAAGGGTTTTCCTGCAGTTTAAACTACCCTCTGCATAAGGAGTGGTACAGTAAGTACGTCTATAGTGTCATAAAAACACTTTTTACCCCCTCAGCGAGAGCAGAGCAATTCTGGTTCACATTTATTAGTAGTCCTAGTAATAAATATTTACATTATGGTAGCGCCTTAGAGGCTCTATTTGAAAGCTTGCCTAAAACTGCTATTGTACCTGGGCACTAAACAGCTCTGAAGCAGCACATCTGTCTGCCAGATGGGTTGGTTTTTTTTTTCTTAGAAGTTGTGATTTTAAAAAGCCTTTTGCTTCCCCTAACAAGCCTTAATAAGAAACTTCAAGAGCTTGCTTCGTCGTCCATTCAAGGGGAATCTGCAGTTAAAATCGCAATGACACTTCAGGCAAGCACAGCGCTGCTCAAGCTGCGAGTGACACCATGAACACTGTGCAGTATTTAAGTGTTGCTTAGTACCTGTGGACGCAACTCGTGCTTTCCAGAGGGCAGAAAGGCCGAAGGCAACAGAGCGGACCTGCTCTCAGTCCCGCCCGGTGGACACAAAACCTGAGGGCTTCCCCTCAGGACACACTGGTCAGGGCTCAGCGCTTCACACCTCACCGCGGGCAGCCAGCGGGCAGCCTGCGGGAGCCCACAGGGCCCCGGCGCGCCGCTGCCACACCGCCAGCTCCGTCAGGAGGGGCCCGGGGGCAAAGCCACCGCCGGGGTACCTGAGAGGCCGCATCCATCTCCCGCTACCATCTGTGAGGGGACAAGCGGCGGCAGCGAGGGCGGATCCCATGGGATCGGGCGAGCGGAGCGCCCCGGGTACGCACCCAGCCGGATGCCACCTCAGAGCGGCCGCGCGCGCACCGCCTCCCCGGGCACGTGATTGCGACAAAGCCAATCGCAACGCGCCGTCCCCCACTGTGGCCTTCCCGCCTCCCGCGGCCGCGTTGCTAAGGCAACGAGAGGGTCGGAGGGGCCGCCGCCGCTGCCGCCATGCTGAAGGCCAAGGTGCTGCTGGTGGGGCCCCGCGAGGTGAGCGCCTTCAACCGGCCCCTCGACCGGACCCCTGAGGGTCGCTGTTCCTAGGCGGGGGCCGCTGAGGTGGCCACAGGGACTGAGGGGTCCCTGGAGGCGGGAGGATGGCTGGGGGTAGGGCTGAATGCACTGGGGGCCGAGGATGGAGAGAGATCAGGGGGCTTGGGTAAAACACTGTGCGCTGCTCTTTGGTGTGGTTTTGGCACGTTAACTTCCCACGGGATCTTCACTTTCTGCCAGTCTGGAAAGTCGGTGTTGGCAAACTTCATTTCGGAGAACATAGAAGGGATCGGCAGCTACAGCCCGACGCAGGCTCTGAGGTGAGCGAAACCCAGAGCACGCTGACTGAGCCAGCCCCTCGGAAAGTCCTGCTCTCTGGCTGTGGTGCTGTGTGGTGTTGGTGATGTTGTATATCCACCCATTTCACAGGATCCTGGAGTACGAGATGCCAAACTTGAACACTAACACCAAGGGAGCTGGGTGTCGGTTTGAGTTGTGGGATTGCAGTGGTGATCAAAAGTAAGCCAGCATTGCTGTTACTGCCTCTAGGGTACTTTTAATAGTTCTGTTTACACAAAATATTCATACTTAAGGCCTAAAGCAGATGATCTTTTTGAGATGAGGAATATTCCCAACTCTTTACCTGATTATATTTTATACAGCTTCCTGTTATAAAGCACCTGATACTAGGTGCCCTCTGCCCAATTGACTTGGTTTTGGATAAGGACCAAGTACAACATAAAGTCCGTAGCTCCTAGAATGAAGTTAATAGGTACAGGAGACAGAGGCCCACTCTGTAACTGTCTTTATCTCCTTGAAGTTATGTGAGTGGACTTCAAACAATGTACCTGTGATGTAGGCTTTCATTTCCAAAAGATACAATTGAGAACTGGGCAGATCCACTTTTAGGGAAAAAAGTTTAAATAAGCATTTGACCAAATAGTGCACTGTCAGTAAATCACAGGACCGACAACTATAATAGGTAAATTAAAACATTTGGAATATGATCGATCACTCATGTTACAATAAAGTACTGAAATGTGCTCTTGAAGAGGGAAGAATAAAACTTGAGGAAGATTGAGTGCGTGTTTCTGTTATCATTCTCTTGTTTTTCAAGGTTTGAAACATGCTGGCCAGCTCTGATGAAGGACTCTCATGGGGTAATAATAATCTTCAACCCTGAGCTGCCCAGTCACCTGAAAGAAATTGAAATGTGGTACTCCTGTTTCGTGCAGCAGCAGTCACTGCTTGACAGTCAGTGTCTCCTAGTTGCACATCACAAGCCAGGCAGTGGGGGTGACACAGAAGATCTGTCCTTGGGTAAGAAGAGGAAAACTCAACCTGTAACTCTGTTTTTCATTGATCTATCTTTACAATTGTCCATACCCTTTTCATTTACATCTGCTGGACTGTTTTGCAAAACCAGAAATAAGGAATTTCAAAGGTCATCTAGAAGGTGAGCAATAAGCCTATTTCACAAAAGGGAAAGTAAAGACAAGAAAAGTTGAGTGACTGCTTTAAGGTCACACAGTGAGTATGCAGCTGACCCAGGAATTGGAACTCCTGCCATACTGTGCCATCACTATTATTTTGGTTTTGATGTTAAATTTTATCTTTTATTAACTGACACTCCTGGGGCCACTTGAGCCTGCATTTTATCCATCAAAAGAACAGGAGCCCTCTGAAATAAAAGGCTAATGATCTTCCTCTTAAAACTAGTAATAGGTACCTTATGTACTGCAAATGTATTTGTGGCTGTTCATACAAATGAGAACACATACTTCCTCTGGGCAATCTGTTCCAGTGTTAAATACTATTCCAGTATTAAACAAATACTTACAAGTATTACTCAATTAATACATATTTAATATAACAATATTGTTCCATTATTTTGATATAATCAAAGAATGTCCTATCACTTTGTCATGGTTTACCTAAAACCAGGACACACTTCAGTAGTAAAACTGCAGTTCAATGTTAAATTGTTTGATTCTGCCTAACTGCATGTGAGACCAAACCCAGGACTTGAAGCTTTAATAATAATGTTTGAAGAATTTAACCTAGCAACAAGTTGGACTTGCTTATAGTGCTAAAAAGCTATGATGCATTTCTTCTTCATGTGTTGTGTGTTATCTGGGGTATCAAACATTGGATACTGCTGAAGCCCACTTGACTTCAGCATGAGCTGTCCCATGACCTTGACTGTATTTCTTTTATAAAAGGAATATATCTAATTATTTTTTATTTACCTTCAAAGCTTACCCACTGAACAGGCTAAAACTGATACACTCCAACTTGGAAGAAGATCCTGAAGATGTTCGGATGGAATTTATGAAATACTTCAAAAGCATTATCACCTTGATAAATGAGAGCAGAGAGAGGGAAGAAATGTCAATTATCTCGTAACATTAAAAGAAATACTGAACAAGGAAGAAAAAGGATTATTTTGTCTTTGTAAGGTACACTAGCCTGGGAACAGGTCCTCACAAAGGGAATTTGCCAGCCTATAAACACTTCAACCCATACACAAGTGCTGACATCAGATGAACTGTTGTGCCAGAGATGGCTGCACATCCAGGAGGTTGGGTAACTATCTGCACTTTGGTTTCATCTGGCAACAGGTACAGGAAGGTGTTGTTTAATATGTTAGTGTGGACCAAAAGATAAATGTATGGGTTATCTCTTCAGAATCCCTTTTTGTAGAGGTGCTAAGAGAAGAAAACCTGACAGAAGATCGGTGGAGTTCTGTTGAAGCACCTGAGTAAAGTGCTCATGTTAGCTGTGTTCCTGGAGAAGGCATGCTTTTGAAAGTCAGTACAAACTGACTAGAATAGAGATCTGAGAAGTAGTCATGGTATAGAATCCACAGTTTTATGTTTCAAGTTCTCCTTATCTTTCTGTCCAGCATCTGCAGAGAGAACATTACATAGTTATTGCCTTGGGAAGGCAGAGTGGGTTGCAGTCTTTCTGAGGACTAGGTTTTTCTTCTGCTCCAACAAAATGTGTGATTGGGGGCAATGTTTAGGTGTCTCTGGGAGGAAAAGAATTGCAATTTCAGTGTAGTGCAATGCTTTGACCTATGTCAGGAGCTCCAATAGAGAAAAAGTTCTACATTCTCAGAGAAGGAAAAGCTGTCCCTGTTGCACTGAAGTAAGTGGTTTCATAGCTAATTTACTTTCTGCTGTGTTTGGTTTGCACTCATCCCTGTTCTTGGTATGTTTTGCTGTAGAAGACATTTTTTCTTGTAACATGGTACCAAGGCAATAAAAACATTTAAAAAATGCTTAAGTTTCAGTAAGGAAAACAGGGATAAATTTGTAGTACATTAATGAGCTCCAACAAGAGATATTTACCAAAACGTGTCACTGCCCTGGCTGGTGTTAGCTAAAATTGCCCAGAGAAGCTGTGGCTGCCCCATTCCTGGCAGTGTTCAAGGCCAGGATGGAGGGGGCTTGGAGAAACCTGCTCTAGTGGAAGGTATCCCTGCCCATGGCAGGGGGTTTCAACTGGATGAGCTTTAAGGTCCCTTCCAACCCATACTGTTCTACGATTCCTTGAAAATAAGTTTATTTTATCGTTGTTTTCAGGTAGATTTTTCAGTTATTTTTGTATACTCTTTGAAGTACTTCTACAAGTTCATGCTCAACACACACATTGCTGAGTCCGAAAGCCTCTCTATCCCAGTTGTGTTTCATACTTCCCCAGCTATTTTTCTCTTTGATTATTAAGTCCTATTTACTTAAAACAAAGGCATGTAAAGTGAAAGATTAAAAGATCTTAGAACAGTTCCAAGCTGTAAACCTAATGGCTACAAGTAACACACCAAAAGTGAGCTTAAGTTTATCCTTTAGAGAATTCCTATTCCAACCATACACTGGTTTGCTCAGGTTGGCACAGCACGTGAAGTGTGTGCACACACAAATAGCCTGCACTGTGCTTTTCTTGGGTACTTGGTGTGCTCAGCTTGCTGCCCCAGCTTCTTTTCATCGTC